ACAGATATCCCTGATAGTCTTCCACCAGTAACTTTATGGTACTTTCATTATTTTTGGCAATACTGTGCCAACCAGCATTTTAGATTTCTTAGTCACCTTGATCGTTCCTCAAACAAACAAACAAATTTTTGTGTTTTTTCAAAAGCCAAGTAAGTTGTGAGTTGTTTCTTGATTATATAGATCTCTCAAAAATAGTTTTGGAGCTACTTTGAAGTAAACTGACACTGCTATCACAAAGTAGGATAATTTAAATGCAAAGGTAAGCACACAAGAACAAGTACTTTATAACAAGAAGAGGCTCTTCAATTTCAAATTCAGAACCATTAAAGGATTTGTAAGTTATCTATATAATGACAATATAATACTAAAAGAAATTTCAGACAGATAAAGCCTATAGAAAACTTGCCTTGTCTAACCACATAGGATGCTGGTCATCCTGGACTCTTCCCCGACTGGAGAGAAAGAATTTGGAGAATGGAATCTGAGAGAAACAAAACAAAAACAGGCTTTAGTGTCACCAGTACATAAAACAAAAACTTACGAGAAAAAAAGCTACATCTGGTACCAGCACTAGTTGGGTACATAGAACAGGAACAGAGAAATGGGCCACATTAACCCTTTCATTAACTGACAGCCAGTTCCAGGCCCATGCTGTTCTGCAGCAGCCGTTTGTAGCTGTCATGCAGGATTGTTACCCTGTTAGGACACAATGACAGGCTGCAGCACAAAAGGTGGCTCTTTACATCTAGAATATCTCCCTCCAATAACATCAGCATAAAACAGAAATTAATGAAAAGTCTAGCACGCATGTCTATCGAGAGCTCATTTGTACCCAAGCTATGCATTTCAAAATGCAAACCTCACACTGAGATATCAGTACTCTGGCAAAGCAGTTCAAAATAACGTAAAAATGACTTTGAATGCAGTGGGAGCAAGAAAGACGGGAGGCTGAGAGGAAACAGGAGGGTTGGCTGGTGGGAGTGTGGGGAAAACATGTAAGCCAGCAATGACACACCAATTTTCATCCTCCTGACTCCTCATCTGTGAAATAGTGGGCTGTTCTCATATGACTGGACAACAGTATTATGAAGCGCGGAACGCCTGTTCACAAGGATGTGCAAACCTCCCTAATGTTGTCATCAGCGAATTACAAACATTCCTCACATCTCATCAGAAATGAGCCAAACCCCCCACTTCTTACGAGTATTATTTTATGTCACAGATTCAAAGGCCATAAATGACAAACCATGCCTCCGAGTCTCTGACTGACTCCAGCAAGACAGTCGGTTATGCAAATCCTGCTGCAGGGTACAATTTCTACACCAGCCTTCATCCATTTGCATTACAGATAAAATGGTTGTCACAGAGAATATTCCTGGCAACCCCTGCTAAGCTTCAACCACTGTATCCATTCTATTACTCCAGTAATAGCTAACAGCAGATGTTTAGGTAAATGCATGGTGGATCAAATCTTTGATACAACTGACACGGTGTGCCCTCCCATGATCCAGTGATTTACAATTTTGGGAACTCCCAAGCCAAACACAGGTCTGTTGTATAATAACAGAAACACTGTTGAATGGACAGCAACAGCAACAAACTGTGAGAGCTGAAATAATGCCTCTTCCACAGAGCTCTGGCAGGACCCCAAGACAGTCTCGTTATAGTTTGAAAGACACGTTAGTTCACCTTTATTTCCTCCCAGTACGGGCCTCCTCGGGTGAACATGAAGTAGTTGTAGAGATCATCCTTTTGATGGGAGAAGTAAGGGTCTGTATAAATGTTTATCATCCAAGGTCTGCCATCACCACGGACACGTAAATACAGACTGTTGAAGTTTGACCAGTCGTAATACTTCTTCCTAGCAAAAGATCCCTATAAATTATTAATAAATAGAATTATTCCTCCTTGATAAAGGGAACCTTCCATTATGAAGAACCGAGCACTATTGCTCTGATCACTGCCCTCATTACTATGTCAAGTAGTATCTACTGTGACACAGTCAAAACTGGGTTTCTCCTTCATCACACTAGCTGCTGATTTCACTGTATTCCTTCAGCACTGTATTAGAGCCCACAAATTGGAGTACCACTGCTCTGAGGACTTGTGCTTTCATTACAAACTACAATCTTGTAACTATCAGAAATCAGACCTCCTTCCTAGGACCAAATTCCCAAGCAGGCAAGTACACAAACCCTATACTGACGGATCAGTAGTTCTGCAGTTTGTTAAGTTTAATGTAGTTCATTAACTTTAATATTCTGTGAGATTATTCAGAGACCATTACGAGAAACTGATGAAGTGGGATAAACCATCCCCTGTGATAACTTCCCTTACTGAAGACTGACATAAGCACTGGAAGAATTTAATGTTTTCCAATGCTTTTTGTCACTAACTGCACATAATGATATGGACTGCAAGTGTGTCTAATTCTCAAACACATCTTTTCCAAAGATCTTAAAAGTCCCGATGTTGCGATTTGCACATAGGCAGATCCAAGAGTCTTTAGAGAGTTATATTGAGGTCACTCGGACAGATGTGGGGGTAGGGGGTCAGGGCTATTCTTGGACAGAATTGTTTCAATCAGGTCAAAATTAGCACCAAAAGTTCAGAGGCTTCCCCTTTATTTTACAGCACTACTATGGTTACCTACCAATCGTGCTTCTACCAATTCATCTTATAGGTAACGGAATGAGTAGATCATCAATACATTAATACAAGGCCTGTGGCTATTAGATTTTATGGTTTTGCCAGTTTTGAGCCTTTTTAATTCAACAAAGAAGAGCCTTTGTGTTTATATTTTCACCCTCTGATTTCAAACTGCATCATAAAGATGGACTGATACACTCAGAAACAGGAGGTGAAAGTTTCAGCCACATTTGCACAAGCCAGTAGCAGTGCTGGGAATTTAACTTAGGTGAGATTCAACTTGCTGTTCCATTCCACTGACTTGGTGTCACCATTTTAATCAGTGTTCATCTGCCTCTCATTTGCCTATTGATTTTGCTCACTCATATTCTCTGCTCCCCAGTTGCTGGCCCAAAAAAAAGATTTTACCTGTGTACTTGTGCCAAGTCGCAAGCAACAGAATAGACTAAAAAGTTAACCATTTTATACACTGAGTCAAAATGTTCCTTGGCTTTTAAAGGTGGTTAAAAATAAGGAATGAAACAAGCAGTATCAATATTAAGCACATCCATTTCTGGTTCTGTTTTGCTCAATTCTGAACTATCAAAGATTTCTGTTTTGCTTTTTCTAATATACAGTAGGAGTCAGACCTTTAAAAAGTACATTTCAAAGCATTATTTTCTATTCCTGTGAGAAGAGATGAGCTCATTCACCTAAACCAAGTTTCATGAATAGGTCAAGTCAGAGCCCAGAAAATTTGTCCCTATGAGACAGTCAATTAACTTCAAATCTAGAGAGACATCTCTTTTAATCATATCACTTTTGGATATAAAAGTTCATTACAGATCCTTCATTTGCAAGGAGCCTGTAAACAGGGCTGTCTTAATAAGTGGATGCCGTATCGTACATAAGTAAATGATCAAACATATATTATCCCTTTTCTAAGAAAGGAAAACAAAATCCAAGAAAAAGTTCAAGTTCCTTTCAGGTCAAAGGATACAGCAGCAACTATGCCTGTGAAGGAATATCTAATACTCCTGGAAGCAATCAGTTTCAACTGTAGTAAACAACAGTCCACTTCTTGTCTCTAGCATTACACAAAAATGCTCTCCAATTAAATAACAGAAGCTACGGAAACATGAAGCTGTACTTACCATTGGCGGTTTAGATCTCATACTACAATATCCACTGTATTTTGTCTCCCCATCACGAGGTACTTCCGTATTGAGGACTCCGTACAGCAGAGCAGCCTGGTTATTCCTACCCAATTTTAGGTAAACTTCACTTTTGCCTCCAATCTCCACATCAGAGGAAATAACCCATTTATTTAAATCTTCTTGGCTCCGAAACTCCCACAACACCCTTGTCTGTTCTAATAGGTACTGATCAAATGGATAGCCTCCAGGTCCTTTTAAGTAGCTTTTGGTCTCCTCCTTCAGCATGCTTAGCTGAGTCTTTAAGATATCAATGCTCTTCTTAAAACTGAAATCAGCATTTTGCCACGATGTTTTTTTTTCAGGCTGTGACCCTGGCCTCCGATAGCTGCTATACAATTTTGACATGGAATTGCTGAGGGAAGGTTCAAGTAAGGGGTGCAAAACTTGGTGCCTGCAGCATCTGCCACATAAGTAAGCACCGTTCAGCAACACAGTCAGAGCCATGTCTGTAAACTTGAAGAATTCGCTTTCAGTAAGGTAATTAATGGGTTTGAAATTAATTTAACAACAAAACTAAAGTAAGATCGCTCTGGATACTAGTTATCAGTGTATCTCCACCTTTAATAAGAGAGAAAAGATAAAAAAAAAAATTACTTCTAGGATGCTTGTAAAACTGTTTAACTTTTAAAACAGGTATTAACCAGAAATTTAAGCCATTAGAAAAAGGAATAAAAAATAACACCAAGTATTACACTTCCTCAGACTTTTAGTTTACTTAATGATTCCCACCTTATGTGTTCACCCCCTTATGATGTGAAATATTCACGCAAATAAGAGAAAAAAAGTAAAATACTTTAAATAAAACTGAGAATAGAAAAAAAACAATTCTTGTTAATTCCTCTCACTGTAAGTTTAGGTATTATGAGTAATATCAGCAAAAACAACCTCAAGAAGAATGTTTCTAAAAGATGGCATCTATATAACTATAAAGTATTATTCCCTGCAAGAAAATCACAAATTCACAACAGGTAGACCCTGCTGCCATATGGACCGGAACGACAGTCTCATCTGACAGTCACAGATGACAAGATTTTTCAGATATGAAGTCCTACAGCAGCCATATTACATGCTTCTTCCGTAAGGCATCCAGCCCCTTGCCCCCTCAACGCATCTGGTTTAAGATTACAGAGATGTTTGTGAAGACGAAATAATTTAATAAGAGCGACTGCAATTCAACATTTTTTCTTATAAAGTTTTGGAAAAAATCTGAAAATCTTCTCTTTGCTCTGTCTGCATAACTGCTGGTAGGAAAAGCTACACCACATCACTATTCTCTAATTCATAAGGGAGACCCTTAATGTTCAATTCTCTGTACAGAGGCTATTATCTGTGACCCATAAGATTAGACAGACTAGTTGCCTTATTTTGTGATTTTGATTTGGGTTTTGTTGTTTTATTTTTGGCCACAGAATAAATCCTAAAATGATGTAAAATCAGTTTATCTTCTCCAAGCTTTTAAGAATGCAGCCAGTCAAAACAAATTACGGAAGTGCCGTACTGGACTATTTAGCTTATCAATCCCTCTAAGAATTTTTAAACATAGAACTAGTCATCCCTCTCTACCTTTCACCCACAAGATCTTCTGAGTTACAAACTCCCACTGAGCATCAGTGGGATAGTCCTTTCCTTTTTCATATTTTCTATGCTTTAGATGCCTTCTTTCTCTCTGTCTCCAGCAGTATGAGGTGACGTGCAGAAACTTGCTTTACACAGCATAACACCTTATGAAGAAACTAGCCCACATCTTCAAACAGCTATAGTGACAGCACTTGTTAACCATCTTATTGTGGTCTGTTACACAAATACAGCATATCTAAACGCATCACATATCAGACAACACTGCAAAAGACTTGTGGCGAGCCCCACTCTCTTCTCTATATGTCACATATCTACTTTTATTTACGGTAAAATGCACTACTACTATCCTCATATTCCAATTAGGTTAAGGACCATGGCGTAAAACTGCATTGAAGGATGTCACGTTTTCTCTACCCACACAATCAGCAAGATAGGAGGCAAGTTCCTAAAAAAGAAAACTTGACGTGCAGGGTGCCCATGCCCCTTGGGACAGAGTTGAAGCACGCACCATGGAAGCAAGGAGAGCCTGAACAGTGACTCGGGCCGTTTCAGGGCCCCACCGGGAAACCTGCCCCAAACCCAAACACAACCAGCAGTCAGGTAGAGAAGAGGCACAGAAAAGCTGCAGCCCGCAGTCAAGCTGAACCCCGCTCAGCACAGACCTGTCCTTGTTTCCTCCAAGTACCACGAAGGAGAAAACGTGACGTTTTAAACAGGTTTTACTTTTGCCCTGTTTTTGACCCTACGCAACGTTTTCCCCGTACGCGGATCTAACGCCAGAACAGATTCTCCACCCAGCAGCCACAAAACCTCGG